ACCAAATCCCATAGGGGTGAGCATAAAGCCCAGTAGAGAAATCCTTAACAAAGTATATACAAGATTTCCAAGGTTAAATGCACATGCCATGCAATGACAGTAAAAAAAAAGATTCGTTTACATGCTCTTTTAAATTATCATCATGTCCAATAACAATTTGAAAATCCCAACAGTTTTTGAAATTTACAAATTTATTTAATGGGGGCGGTAAATACGACTCAGGTAACCCCTAGGTTAATGTCTGCAAATAGGCTCAACAAGCACTACCAATAACCCCACTTTACCGGTTGCTAACCAGAAGGGAAGTGGTACCTCCTCCACGCGTGTTTTCGGTCTTTCACACTGGACACTTAGGCCAACTTATCAATCTCATCTATACCTCCTATTCGGATTTACCAACGTATTTACTCCATAACATTTCGATAGTTCTCATTCAAAGTATTCTTTTCTCGATGAAAGCGTTTCCAATTCAATTCAAGATGCATAATGATAACAAAAATGATAAATTGAATGAGCGTACGATGCAAAAATTTATGCCTCATAACATTTCCCCATTTTTCCTCCCTTCAATGCCATTTTACAAAATAACCATAGATTCAATAGAAGCCATTAACACATGACAACATTTCTTCATTTTGTACACTTTTAAACTAATTAGGTCTTTCAAGATCATAGGCATTATTTTAAACATCAACTTCCAAGACCTTCAATTTCACATATTCCATGGAATTTCAACAATGTACCAATTCATAGCCACATGTATTTATATGCAACTAACAAAAATCTCAAATCTTCTTTGTTTCCAAGACCCTCATTCATCAAGAAATTATCACGTTCACCCCAACAACATAAATCCTCATTTACTCCTTCATTTAATTCAAGAAAATTTCATAAATCCCCTCATTGTTCCCAAAGCCCCCAATTTTCTAGGTTTTTCACAAAAACCCTAATATTTCTTCCTCTCTTTTCAAAATATCACAAATATATCAATCTCCACCCATGTGGTTCAACATCTCAAGGAAATCTATAAAACGAACAAAAAATGTATTTTCTTTTTACAAAATCATCATTTGCTAGAGTCAAAACCCTTTTTCGAAATAGACAAGTAGGAGCTCTCACAATTCAGTCAAAACTTGCACAAACATATATATGACTCTAAGTAATTTCCCTACCTCAAGTCTTAAAGGAGAAAGAGATGAAACCCTAGAATGCCAAGATGCCCAAACTCAATCTCCGCTGCACATAATGTAGTTCTTGAGGAGTTTTCAATCTTTGATGAAGGAGCTAAGGTTGAATCTCAAATGGATGGAAGAAGATCAAGGGTTTTGATCTTGTTTTGAGGTAGGAGTATAGAGAGAAGGGAGAGTAATATATTTTTAGAGAGAGAGATATATATAAAAAGTGATACACACAGCCAAAAAGAGAAGAAAAAACAGAGCCCCACAGACTCAGGCTCGACCACACGTGCGGCATTTGCCCCCACACGTGCGGAGCGTGCCTCCCGCACGTGCGACTCCGAACCCTGCACGTGCGGCTGCCTCCGCGCCTGCAATTTAGGCAATGTGCAACTCTCTGAAACTTACCCTTCCTCGCATGTGCGGTCTCACCCCCCGCACATGCAGCCCCAACCCTGCACGTGTGGCCTAGGGCCCCACACTTGCACGTGTGGTCTAGGGCCCCAACAGCCTAGAATTTTTTGGTTCGATCCCCAGGCACTCCGAACTTGACCTCTCACTCTCCGGAACAAGTGTAAATCAACACTGAAAAAGAAAAACATGAACAAGGATTTGTTTGAGAAAAACTTCCGGACATCCCCAAACCCAACGAAAACAAAAGTGAGGTGACGTAAGACGGAATTGGTCATCACAGGGTCCAGGTCTGTGATCCATGATCCGTGGGTTGTGGATCTTGGATCTTGGGCTTGGGCTTGAGCTTGAGGCTTGTTGGAATGGGTTAGGTTTGGGCTGGGCCAGATTGGTGGTCCACCAACCTGTTCTTTTTGTGCCAGGTCTGCTGCAAGCCCACGTCTGTTGCAGAAATATATATACACATATATGTATATTGTGTGTAACTCACACTTTGAATTCCCATCAGTTTTGTCCATTACTCCAGCAGTTTTACAGGAGTAATGGCCTGCATTAGTGGCTAGCCTTGATGGTTGAAGGCTCCTCCTCTCTCCTCCATTGTGTATAAGAGGAGACCCATCTCCC